GAGAATCCCGTGGACAGAGGAGCCTGGCAGGCTACAGTCAGTGGAGTTGTGAGAGTCGGACATGACTTACTGACTAAACCACCCCCACCAAACACTCTGAGGACCGCAGTGTCGTTAGTCCAGGGCCCCCTCCCACATTTACCAAAGTGTCTCCGTTGCTTTCCAGGGCCACTCCAGTTGTGCAGTGCTTTGGCTACGTCTTCAGGGCTCTCTCCTAGAGTCATAATCCACAAACTATGGTGCTTTTTTTTGTAAATATGGTTTTATTGAAACATAGTCTTGCTGTTGGCATTAGTACTATCATCCCTCAGTGTTTGGGGAGGATTGGTTCTAGGACCCTCTGAGGATAACAAAATCCATAGATGCCCAAGAATCCTATAAAAAATGGTGTAGTAGTTACATAAAACCTACATGTATCCTCCTGTATACTCTAAATCATCTCTAGATTGTTTATAATATCTAATATAAATGTTGTTCAGTCACCAAGTCATTTCTGACTCTTTATGACCTGTGGACCGCAGCACACCAGCCTTCCCTGTCCCTCACCATCTCCTGGAGCTTTCCCAAATTCATGTTCATTGAATCAGTGATGTCATCCAACCACTTCAGTGGTTAATACAAAGAACATACTATATAAATAGTTGTCAGTCAGTCAGTTCAGTCGCTCAGTCATGTCCAGCTGTTTGCAACCCCATGGCCTGCAGCACGCCAGGCTTACCTGTCCACCAGAAATTACCTGTCCAGAACTTGTTCAAACTAAATAATTGTAGATGCTATGTAAATATTGGTCATTGCTAGCAAGCAGCAAATTCAAATTTTGCTTTTTGGAATTGTCTAGAATTTTTTTTAAAAATAGTTTTGGCCTGTGGTTGGTCAAATCTGAGGATACGGAACTGTGGATGTGGAGTGCTGGATGTGTTAGCTGTGGCTGCTTCTGTGTAAAAATGGCAGAACTGAAGATTTACAACATAAACTGGAAGTCTAGAAAAAAGCTAAGATTTTTACTATCTAGCTCTTTCAGAAGTTTTTTGACCCCTGTGCTAGAGAGAACAGTAAGACAAGAGTCACCCCAAGGATACAGTCATTCTGTCCCTGAGTTGGGGATTAGATTCACTGAACACATGTCCTTTCATCTCTGAGGGTCTGGGGGCTCAGCAAGTACCATCCTATGAAAAGACTTTCCTGATACTAAAACCAGTGTGTTTCGCAAAGTCTGCTCTATGCCAGACACTGCATTTAATGCCTTACCTTTATTCTGTCATGTATACTTCATGGTGATGCCATGAGGGGGGAACCACAGCATCCCTATTTTGCAGATGAGGAAACCGAGATTCAGAGAGAGTAAATGATTGTCCTGCTGTCCAAAGTGGAGATGTGGCTGGGCCAGGGCTCAGGTCAATTTCAAGTCTGGGCTGCTGTTCTTTACCCCCAACACCCACTACCTCCCCATACTGAAGGCCTAGCAGGAAGAGTGTTACTTGTAAATAATAAACACGAGGCAGGTTGGTCCAAGCCCAGCAGATGTCATGTAACCCAATCCATCAAAGGCTGGGTCTCCAGCAAGGGCATTATGAGGGAGACTTCCCTTAGGGTGGAAGAATCAGCCTGCTAGAGAACCAGAGTCCCAAGGCTTCCCGGGGCAGGACAGACATTCTCACCAACAGCTTGTAACCCTACTCGTGAGAAAACAGCCTCCAGAGCGCTAGAGAATAGATTGACTTGATCACATCTGAAACCTCCGCCGGGATGAGAGGTGAAGTCTCATGTGTTTGGACTTAAAAAACAGAGATCCCAGATAGGTTTGTTTCAACTCCCCCGATAAAGCCATATCACATGATAAACTAGTCCTTTTGTCCACCAAATTAAAAGGATTAAGCATCTTTTACAGAATTCTGTCTTTCAGGGCTACAAGCAGAAGTTTATTTGGTTTCACACTGTTGTGATAACAAAACTTTAGGGAACTGAGACAATATGCGGGAGGCCTGTGGTTATTACACAAAGAGCACAATTGTTCACTTTTTGCTTGCGATAAAAGTAAGAGTACGTGTCAGGGAAATGAATCCGGACTCTATTAATAAAGGTGAACAACAGACTCGCCGGGTCACTTCCTGTTGACACAGGAAGAAAAGCTTCTGGTTTGTTTTCTGGGAACCTCTCCACAAAGTCAGAAGGTCGCTAGTTCACATGAGGCTATGGAGGTTAAAAGAAAAGCGTAAGTCATGTGGGTGATTCAGTGATTCGACTTGTCTGAAATTTCCATTTCCGCCTTTTACAGCCTGAGCTGGTACTGTGAAGGCTGCGGCTCTGAGTCTGGAGAGCAGCGACCTGTTCGTGCACGCTGCCTCTTTGACCCTTGCTCCATGACCCGATAACCAGTAACGCTGTCTACACCCTACAATGACCCACTTAGCCACTGTCACTACCTTTGCCACCTCCCCGTCTATGGAAGGCTCCCACTCACAAAGATTTCTGTCCCATCACCTTGTTTCATTCTTTTCCAGACTTATTCTTTTCCACTTATTAAAATTAACTTGCTTCCTCTTTCACGGTCTGCCTAACTCTCCCTTAACCTGCAAGCAAGTTCCTTAAGAGCAAAGTTCATGTCCGACTCTTCTGTCCCGGTGTGGCCAATGCTTGCTCACAGCAGATCATCAGTGGATAACCGATGAATATTCATGTAGTGCCCATGAATAAATTGAAGGGTGTTTACAAGTGTACCAATGCTTTAGCTTTTTTTTTCATACCCAACTTTCCTTTTCACATTGAGCTGGCTATGCTATCTATGGTGCCTGGGTTAAAAAGTGTCCAGCTGTCACTGTAAGGAAGTGGTTATTCCTTTCCTCATTCATTCATTCATGGTGTATATATTGAATGCAAGTGCCAGGCATCCCTACCAAGAATTCAATGATGAACAAAACAGAGTGCCTGCCACATGAGTTTTCAGTTCAGTGGGGGTGGTAGGGAAACAAATATTAATGGAAGAGTAATATTGGTATGCAGTTGCAACCTTGATAAGTGTTGTGAAAGAAAAACTCATGTAGGGCTTTTGAGGAAGTAATGTTTGGGACAGCCGTGGTGGCACAGTAGATAAGAATCCTCCTGGCAATGCAGGGGACACAGGTTTGATCCCTGATTCAGGAGGGTTCTACTGTAGATCAGCAAAGCTTATGTGCCACAATGACTGAAACCCTGGCTGCAACTACTGAAGCCCAAGTGTCTAGAGTCTGTGCTCCGCAACAAGAGAAGTCACCACAACGAGAAGCCGGCACACCACTACAAAGGGTAGCCCCTGCTCACTGCAACTAGAAAAGACTCGCATAAATCAATGAAGACCCAAGACAGCCAAAAATAAATAAGAAAATAAAATTAGGTAGAAAAAAATAATAAAAAATTTTAAAAAGAAGTAATGTTTGGGCTGAAATTGGAAAGTTGGGTTAACTAGATGGGTACCTAAATGAATTTGCTGAAGAGTGATCAGCATTAGAGTTAGGATGAGAGTTAGGAGTGGAATAAGGCTGAGTCTTTCCCAGTGACTCAGCAGTAAAGAATCTGCCTGCAATGCAGCAGACTCAGGAGACACGGTTCAATCCGTGGGTCAGGAAGATCACCTGAAGTAGGAAATGGCAACCCACTCCAGTATTGCCTGGAAATTTCATGACAAAGGAGCCTAGTGGGCTACAGTCCATAGGATCAAAGAGTCAGACACAACTGAGTGAGCAAGTGAGAAAGATTGGGGGTGAATAGGGGAAGATTAGAGATCTTTCCCAGGAAACTGTGCTTGTCTTATAGGGATTGGATGAATGTTGACCAGGAATGAACTGCTGTCTGCCTAAAACAGAGTGGAGACAAAATAAGTGAACAGGAGACAAATTATGGTTTGTCTTTTTTTGTGTGATTTGCTCTTTTCTGATAGTTTGCTCTTCAAGGACCATCTTTCTGGTGGTCTGCTCTTTTTTGATGGTTTGCTCTTCAAGGACCATCTTTCTGGTGACTGGGGCACTGACTTTGGTCTTCTGGGCTAGTACCTGTGGGGCCCTCCATGACCAGCAAGCTGGCTTCTGAAGGCAGAAGCAGCCACGCAGGAGTCTAAGTGCATGTCCAAGCGGGATGGCAGATGGGTGAACAGGTGAGCCAGGTGAGCACCTGCCTTGGTCATCAGCAGGATTTTAGACCCTGGATTTAGGACTCAGATAAGAGGATTCCTGGAGCCCTTGCATAGATTACTGTGGGCAGCTAGGTGTTTACAGAAGCTCACAATGATGCCTATTAAAGAGATCAATTGTATCCATGAGCACCCATGCTTCATAGGTAACTGTTGCCTTATATAGTGCTACCTGCAATCAGCGTAGGTAAAAAAGGAGCGTAAGAAACAATTGGCCCCAGATATGAGCACCATGGGCACTTTTTCCCCCTCTCTTGATCAAAGAAAGACTCTAATGAAAGGGAAAAAAAATAATTAAAAAGTTAAAGCCTTATGTAATGAAATTTAAAAGAAAACTTTGAAGGCAACAAGCAATCGTGGGCAATGCTTCAAAGGGCCTAGAATCAATGTTTGTCAATAGCAGTTTTGCATCCTTTAATTTATCTTTCATGAATATAAAGCGTGATGTTATTAGGAGCCTATCCATGCCTTAATTCTGTTTGCGATTTGATGAATCAGATCTCTATTAACATTCTGATCGAGTCAGCAATGTCAGAGGCCTGTGGTAGGAGCCTCACTCTGGCCGGGCTTTTATCCTGCAACTGAGATGCTAGTGAACAGTGGGGCCTTCTGCACTGAGCCCTTGGCAACCCCGCCCCCACCCCCAGGAGCCAGGGGTACTTTATCTATGCTGCTTTCTTTGGAGATTTTCTCTCCAGAAAAGAAACCAACCCCATGACTCAGCCCAGCCCCAAAGTTACCATTTGTTTAATCAAGATAGTTGGTTTGCAAAACATTAAACATTAAACAGTATTTGATGCCTAGTTAATAATTTGCATCCTCTTCATTTGTTCCTGAATCCTGGGAGACTGACATTCCCCCCTCCCCCCCAAAGGCAGAGACAACAAAAGAAATTGTGTTTAGAGCAAAACAAGAGTTCTTAAACTACAAAGATGTTTGCCAGAATGTCTGATCTCCATGTTCTGCTGTTAATGGTTCTGGCGGGAAAGACAGCCTTCGGGGTAAGTGTTCTTTTCAAATATCTGGTGTTGAGAGGCTCTGAGGTTATTAGGAAGACCAAACCAGCTGGGCCAGGAGCAATGAGAAACTTTAGTTGTGAAAGACTGGTGTTGCCAGGTCGAATATGTCCTGATTTCAAGCGCTAATGCAGGTCTTTCAAGTTGGTTGCTATTAAGTGGCCAGATCCATGAAGCCATGCAATTGGCTTGAGCCATCTTAGAGCAGTCTCCATGAACACCTTCCAACTAAGGGGATCAGAGCAAAAATATCCGCTAAGGCAGCGTGTTTTGTCTGATATGAACCACAAAAATCCCTTTGGAAAGCCACTGAAAGCTACAAACTCTTTCTCTGTACATGCTGACATGCATACCCAGTTCTCCAGCTTTTTGGGGGGACATTAGGGTAAGAATCCCCCTACTTTGACCCTAGAGGAGAATCTTGCTGGCAACAGCTTTACTTAGACGGAACATATTTAGAGAGAAGCTTCACAAGAAGGACTTTTTCTCGCATCACCCTGTGACCATGGCTGTAGTTAACAGGGCAGAGAGGTGAGCAGGGGCCCAGGAGGTCGTGGTGAGTGGAGAAGGAAAGTGACATCAGGGGGTCTCACATGGGGGACTCAAGACATTGGGGAGCAGATGAGGTGTGGTGGTGTCTGCTCCTGTTTCGTGCCCTTGTAGTCCAAGAGTGTTAGCTGGGTTTCTGTGGGCATACGAGACAGGTCTTCACCAGACCTCACACCTCTCAAGTTCCATGCTGGAGGTGGTCTGAAGTGGGAGTGTGTCTTGGGAGCCAGGGTTTGGATCTCAGCTTTGCCACATTCTGGGTGTGGAACCTTGTGCAAGTAACATCATCTCTGTGAACCTCAGTTTCCTCCACTGCAAACCAACTGATAATCTCCCCCAGATTTGGGGAGGGTCGTGACTGGTTAAGCGGAGCAATGCATGTGGCTTTAAATAGATGTGAGCTCTTTTCCCTTGAAATTTCCAAAGTGACACGAGTTCTTTATAAAAATCAAAGAAGGCTCACCTTTGTTAGAGTGAAGGGGGTGGTGAGTAACATACGAGAAAGGGATGAGAACAGAAATAACAGTCATCATATTAAATACCTTTGCATTTTATTTCCAGTTTCACTTCATAGAGCTTTTCCTGCAGGAAGCAGGTTAGATTCTAGGCTCTCTGCTTAGCATGCCTTAAAAACAGCAGCTTCTCCTCCCCTTTACCTAAACTGTACTCGGACACCTACCTTAGTACCATATTAAGCTGCCAATGACTCATCTCGGAAAGAATTTTCTTTTCCAATGATAACTTGTGTTTGTGTGTAGGGGGTGGCTGCAAAGATCAGTCATTATCAAACCCTCTACATCACTGATTGCTATTGAATGTCTGAGGCTAAGACCCTGCAGAAACAGCACAGGTCTAGAGAAAAGCGATGGAAATTATCCGACTCACAAAGGAAGGGTCCAGAGAAAGTACCACTCAGAAGGAATTAAATCCTAAAATTTGCAGGCAAGGAAGAGAGTGGATGCAGTCTGTTTGAAGTTCAGCAAAAGATAACGGTCCCCCCAAATCCTTATTTTGCAAGCCCTAGTGAATTTTTAGGGTTAGCAATGAAATTGTAAGTCAATAATGGATAAAAGAGAAAACATGAGAACTAGCCTTTAGGCAATGAGCTTAGTCAATTCCAAAGAGAGGATTCAGGGCTTTGGAATGTTTTCTTACTCCAGATGCATGCCAGACAGGTGGTTGGGAGAGTGGCTTGCATTCCATAGGCCAGTACACAGAGATAGAGGGGAAAGTGGCCAACTCACTCAGATGTTTAGAGAGCTTGAGACATCACCAGGAAGGAAGGAATCATAGCCAGATGGACAGGGTGGCCTCTCCTGCCCCAAGGTAGGTAAAGTAATAACAAACTGCCGTTTAATGAGAAATCCTGTGTGCCATGCTCTGTGCTTTTGAGAGACTGGTCTTTGAGTTCTCCAGAAGAATCCCAGGAAATAGGTACTATTAAAAAGAATGAAATAATGCCATTTGCAGCAACATGGATAGACCTAGAGATTGTCATACTGAGTGAAATAAGTCAAACAGAGAAGGATAAATAGCATATTACATCTTTTATACATGGAATCTAAAAAGAAATGATACAAATAAACTTTTTTACAAAACAGTAATAGGCTCACAGACTTAGAGGATGAACTTATGGTTTCCAGGGGGAAGAATGGGGAGAAGGGATAGTTAGGGAGTTTGGGATGGACATGTACGCACTGCTATATTTAAAATGGATAACCAAGTCCCTACTATATAGCACAGGGACCTCTGCTCAATGATATGTGGCAGACTGGATGGGAGGGGAATTTAGGGGGGAATGGGTACATGTACATGTATGGCTGAGTCTCTTGGCCGTCCATCTGAAACTATCACAGCATTGTTAATCAGCTATACTCCAACACAAAATAAAAAGTTTAAAAAGAAAGGAAAGTACTGTTATTGCTCGCAGTTTGCAGATCAGGAAACTGAGGAATGTGTTCTCAAACTAGGAGGTAGCAGAGCTGAGTCTTAGACTAGGCTGGTTTCCATCTGTCTGGATAAGGTCTCTTGCTAGGGGCCCTGGCCGAGGATGAGATTTCTTTGGTCCAGACAGCCTCCAGTATTTTTGCCTGGAGAATTCCTTGGACAGAGGAGCCTAGTGGGCTATAGCCCATGAGGTCACAAAGAGTCAGACACAACTGAGTAACTAATTTTAGGGGGGCTTCCCTGGTGACTCAGATGGTAAGGAATCTGCCTGCAATGCAGGAGACCCAGGTTCGTTCCCTGGGTCAGGAAGATCCCCTGGAGAAGGGAATGACAATCCACTCCAGTATTCTTGCATGGGAAATCTCATAGACAGAGGAACATGGCGAGGCTACAGTCCATGAGGTCACAAAAGAGTCAGACATGGCTTAGCGACTAAACTACAACACAGAGCCTTAGGGGTATGATCCTTCCTATAGGGATGGGGGGCTTTTAGACCAGGGGCCTGTTGCTTGATAAAGCGTCAGGCACAGATTCCATGCGCCTCTGAAACTTTAAACAAAAGCAGTCACAGGTCTCTCATTGTTGCCCACTGGAGAGATGCCTGGAGACCCACCTATGCATTCAGATCATACCACAAACATTATGATGACTTCTCTGTGGGCTCATTTGTAACTTAGTTTTATATTCAGGTATCATGATCCCAAAAAAGTGTGGTCAATATTATTGCCATAGACTCCAGGGAATCCTTCATAGTGCTTTCCTGGTCTGGTCTAGATTTGTTTTTCTTTACCCGTCAGTGTTGAACACCAGTCCCCAGCACAGGGGCCTCCCTGGCGGCTCAGTGGTACAGAATGCCTGCCAATGCAAGAAAGTCAGGTTCAGTCCCTGGGTTGGGAAGATCCCCTGGAGGAAATGGCAACCCACTCCAGTATTCTTGCCTGGGAAATCCCATGGACAGAGGAGCCTGGAGGGCTACAGTCCACAGAGATGCAAAAGAGTCGGACACAACTTAGCGACTAAACAACAATAACAAAATCCCCAGCACATCTTGTATTGTTATTCCCATTTTCTGAAGGAGAAACGAGCCCAAAGATGGTGAGTGACCCAACTCCCCAGCCAGAACTGAGACTCAGCTCTGTTTCGACTCCTCACCCTTCACAGGAGGTTTGCTCGGCTATGTGCACTGTCTCAGGGCTTTGACTTCTTTTCCTGCTGCGGTTCTCAGGGTGACTTGGGGTGCACCTGGGCTCAGCTGTAATGCAATTTGACTTCTTCCAGGATCAGAAGCTAGCGGACAAGTCTTGTCAGGTTTGCCCTGTTTCTCTCAGCTCATCCTCAACAGGGGGCCTTGTAATTAAAATGCCTGTTTGCTCCCATTTCTTAGCTTTTTAAACCCTAGAATTTAAACGCAAGAACTCTAGGGCTCCAGAATCCTCCTAGGTAGAGAGTCACAAAAATATCTGCACAGACAAGAGGTTGCAAATTTGTGGCTTGGAATACATGCTGCTCACAGCCCATGTTTTATTGGCAGGTAAAAGATCAACCTGAAGAGTGTTTCCATTTCCTTTGGGTTGCTGGTGACATTTGAGAATCAGGACACTTCATATAATAATACAGACCCCAGTTTTTCCTGAAAATCAGACAGTCTAGTAACATGGGCTTCCATTCTTATATGACAGGGAGGGGACAAGGAACTACTGCTTCTGTTATTAGAAACTGAAGACCCCAGGTCCCCCAGGTCCCAGCACACTCTACTTTGGACCCTGTCCCTGTTCGATGGGTTACCTGTCCAGTACCTGTCCAGTTCTACCTTGGAAAGAGAGAGACAAACAAGGAAAGAAAAGCAGAGAGCATGCTTGTCTGATTATTGTTCAGAAACACTGTGGATGCTGAAATATTAGAGTCAGTTCTGGGTGGTCAAGTAACAGGGCTCCTTGTCTGATTAATTCAAGAATCCATAACCACATGGCCCCCAGGACCAAACAAGGGCTTTGACCAGAAGACACAAACCACCCTTTTCAAAGCCTCAGTGCTCCAGAATGTCAGTCTCTTTCAGACATAGGAGACAACCCTCCTTCATGCTGTAACCCATTCAGAATCTTATGGAAAAAATAAGTACTGATTTGCACTGCATGTACTTACAGATTAAAAAAAAACCCTGATCCTAAGCACAAGTCCAACTCATTAGCTTTGGTGGTGTACGCTGGTATTTAGGGAAATCAGGTCGCAGGAAATCGTATGTGTATGTAGGCACAGATATATTTATATTTTCAATTCATTAGAGTTTCCTAAATGCAAAAGCAATTCTGCTGTCACAGAGAAACAGCATGGCAGAATATTCGGCAGCCGGGATTTTAAATAAAACATGCTTTTTCTTCATAATTAATATAACAAGGTTTCCTGGCTTAGGACTTGGCAAAGATCCCAGGAAAAATGGGGGAAGGGGGCTGGTGTGACGTGCTTGTGACAAAAAATTCCAGGAAGAGTTT